AAATTACCTTGGGAGAAAGTATGTTGGAGAGTAATTATTGCAAATAAACCTGTATCTGCATGAAGTGTATTAATAAAAATAACAAAAAAGATACCAAATTATTTTGAAAATGTGAAGTTAGTAAATATGTACCTCAAATTCGTTGAACCACTTCGTTGTACACACCATTCTTCTTCGTAACGGTCCTCCCATTGTCTCTTCTCTTGTATGAATGATAACCATCTTCACCAGCCTCCGTACGTTGAACAAACCTCTTTGGAAATTGTTTGGAGCAAACACCACTTTCATGCATGGAGACTTCATATTAGCTTGACCACACGGACCGTGAATCATGTATTTCTTCACCAATTTATACATTTTTCTGTCTGAATTTTTGTCAGGGATTTCCGTACAAATAATGCGATCAATATCTTCGGAGCACTTGGGTCTGTCGTCATTATGCAGCCAAGAAGTATATGCGCATGTGGTAGTCCGCGTTTTTTAAATTCAATTGTACAAATGTTTGAATTTAAAATGTATAAAGAAGATAATATTAATTTTGTAACATGTACTTATGATATGGAGTAGTAAACAATGAGTAAATAAAAAGTACCATTATGTTATCCGCAAAATAGTTCAAAGTTTGAAAGACATTATTATTTTGATACTTACATGATTTAATTCGTCCAAAAATATGGTCTTTCTTGAAATCAGTAGTCAAACTGTCAAGCTTCATTTTAAAAACTCGACAAAGAACATCAGGTCGATCTTTTGGGCGCAAATTCGTATCTTTCAACGCTCTTTGTATTTCGGGTCACTTTGGATTGCATGTTATAGTTATAAACAATGATGGAAACCTAATCCAATTACATATTTGTAGTGCGTTCATGAAGTTGTTGAACATATATCTCGGGCCGTTTGTAAAAGTCGCTGGAATAATAATACGTGTACCAACAGATTTGCCATCATTATCTCCACTTCCAACTTTTTCTTCAATGCTCTTGTACATATCTACCCTCAGTTGAGCTTGGTTATATCTTATGAAATTCAATCTTTGGGATTCAATCATCGAAAAAGCATCCACATTAAGCTGCTGAAATAATTTCTTTGAATTCAAGAGTACATGACTATCTCCAATTCTTTTCTGGATTCTGTATGCAAAGAATTGTCGCATAGTTACATATCTTCGCTTTATGCTATTACTTGTTGAAGTTTCCCTTAAAGGAATGTCCTCTCTATATCCTGAAAGACTTTATTTAATTTTATGCGGAAAACTTTAATCACAGAATCTTGAAATCAAATTCATCTTAAGAATATAATCACGTAATAGAGATTATCGACATACCGTTCGCCATGGATTCCGATAGAGATGATGAACGATAGCAACCTACAAGCCGAGCCTAGCCAGGCCTCCTTCGAATCTCCTTGAGAACTTTATTCGTAGCACATCTTCTTCTCTCTATCTCTCTTATATCACAACTCACAAAGTATTCTGTAAGTGATGGAATTCTCAATTGGGTCTGATGGTTGAGGAGAAGAGTTGTGGATGCTTTTATAGACGAGAGAAGAGGGCCACGATTGATTTGTAACGGCAGAAGACAAATCCCACCCATCATGGTCTTTTATTGCCTTCAACGTTACAAATCAATTACCATAAAATCACCTTAATACCATAATTTGAATTACCCACAATTAATAAATTTAAATTCAAAGGTTAATGGGCCATTAAATAAAAATAAAACTTACATTCTCCCACTTGGCCCATTGAACCGTTTAAGAAAAACAAGTTTAAAAAATTATTTGACTCGGTGGGTTCTTCATACAAAACATTTGACACGTGATCACGATTTTAAAAGAAAATTAAGGTGATTACCATAATATAGTACTTTAATATTAGAACTAGTTTGAGTTATTAATGTGAATCATAGCGGTCATATGATTCATTCATCATATTCCCTTCTATGTATCACGCCACTAATAACCCTTACTATTCTAATCCATAATAGCCCCTTTAATTTTGTCTTGTTAGGACGAACCCTGTTCAATCCAAATATAATATGTGCACACATAATAGGAAACAGGAAAAACAGAAACATTTGAATACATAAATTAAGTGTCAATTACATAATCATAACTCATCAAATCATGGATTGTTCAAAAGACCCATTCTAATAACATGTTCCTCATATGTCTTTATAGGCAATCCTTTGGTTAATGGATAAGCAACCATAAGAGTTGTACTTAAATTTTCTATTGACACTTGTTGTTTCTGGACTCTTTCTTTAACAACCAAGTACTTAAGATCCATGTGCTTGGATCCACTTGAACACTTTCCATTCTTAGAGAAGAAAACGGCTGCGGTGTTATCACAATATATCTTCAAAGTCTTAACAATTGAGTCAACAGCCTTAATCCCTAAGATAAAATTTCGCAACCACAGTGCATGACTCGAGGCCTCAAAACATGCTACAAACTCAGCCTCCATTGTGGAAGAAGAAATAATACTTTGCTTTACGCTCTTCCAAGATATTGCTCCACCAGCTAGTAGAAATACAAAGCCCGATGTGGACTTTCTACTATCTACACAACCAGCAAAATCGGAGTCTGAATAACCAATAACCTCTAATTGGTGCGATCTCCTATAAGTAAGCATGTAATCCTTTGTTCCTTAAGATACCTCATAACTTTCTTTGCTGCTTTCCAATGTTCTATTCCCGGATTACTTTGATATCTACCAAGTACTCCCACTGCATAACTAATATCTGGTCTAGTACACGTCTGTGCATACACCAAACTTCCAACTGCTGATGCATATGGAATCAATTTCATTTTCTCCTTTTCCAAATCATTCTTTGGACATTGCTTTTCACTTAATTTATCACCTTTCGTGATAGGAGCATTAATGGCTGAACAAAACTGCATATTAAATCTTTCAAGAACTCGATTGATATATCCTTTCTAAGACAAGCCTAACAATCCTCGAGATCGATCTCTAAAGATTTCTATCCCAATAACATAATTTGCATCACGCATATCAACCATCTTAAAATTCTTGGAAAGATAATTCTTAGTTTCGTGAAGCAAACCAAGATCACTACTTGCTAGTAAAATATCATCCACATACAAGACTAAAAAGATAAACTTGCTCCCACTGACCTTTAGATATATACACTGATCAACAGTGTTTTCCTTAAATCCAAAGAAAGTAATGGTATCATTGAATTTTATATACCATTGTCTAGAAGCTTGTTTAAGTCCATATATGGATTTCTTTAATTTACAAGCCAAGTGTTCCTTTCCTTGTTTTGCAAATCCTTCAGGCTGGTCCATATAGATATCTTCATCTAAATCCCCATTCAGAAAAGCGGTTTTCACGTCCATTTGGTGTAACTCCAAATCATAATGAGCTACAAGAGCCATAACGATTCTAAGAGAGTCTTTCTTAGATACTGGAGAGAAAGTTTCTCTATAATCAATGCCTTCTTTTTTAGTGAAACCTTTGGCCACTAATCTGGCTTTAAATCTTTCGATATTGCCCTTAGAGTCACGTTTGGTCTTAAAGACCCATCTACAACCGACTTTCTTACTGTTCTTAGGCAATTCGACAAGATCCCAGACACCGTTATAGTCCATTGATTTCAACTCTTCATTCATAACATCAATCCATTTATTAGAATCTTTACTTTTCATGGCTTGTGAATATGAAACTGGATCATTTTGAATACCAATATCAAAATCAGATTCTTATAGATACACCACATAATCATCGGATATGGCAGATTTCCTTTCCCTTTGAGATTTCCTCAAAGCTACCGGTTGTGGTGGTTCTACAGTATTGCCAATAATAACATCTTCATGAAGTGGTGAATGGAGTGGCGAATCATTTGTTTCATCGACCTGCTGTATAGGTTGAAGAGTAACCTTATCTTGAAGGAAATAAGATGGTAAAATATCCACCATAATTTCCTCAAGTTCTACCTTTCTTGATTCAACACTCCCACTAACTTCACCATTCTCTAAGAATTTGGCGTTTCCAGTTTCAACTATCCTCGTAGTATGGTTAGGACAATAAAATCTGTACCCTTTTGACTTTAGTGGATAACCAATAAAATATCCAGAAATTGTTCTAGGGTCCAATTTCTTTTCATTTGGATTGTATATTCTAGCCTCTGCTGGACAACCCCAAACATGTAAATGTTTTAAACTAGGTTTCCTACCAGTCCACAAGTCGTAAGGAGTTGTTGGGACCGCCTTACTGGGAACCCGGTTTAAGATATACATAGCGGTTTTCAAGGCTTCATTCCAAAATGAAATGGGTACAGTTGAATTACTTAACATACTCCTAACCATATCTATGAGAGTACGATTACGACGTTCAGCAACTCCATTCTGCTGTGGTGTTCCAGGCATTGTGTATTGAGCACAAATACCACACTTTTCTAAGAATTTAGCAAATGGGCCAGGATTTTGTCCCGACTCATCATATCTACCATAGTATTCCCCAACCCGATCTGATCGTATAACTTTAATTTTTCTATCTAATTGTCTTTCGACTTCCGTAAACAACACCTCAAGCATGTCAGCGCTTGAGATTTTTTCATGAATTAGATAGAGATAACCCATAACGAGATAGATCATCAATAAAGGTCATAACATACTTTTCTCCACTAAAACATGGAATAGGTAGTGAGCAGATATCTGTATGGATTAACTCAAGAAGCTCTTTACTTCTCGTGGCACCTCTTTTATTGTGTTTGGTTTGCTTACCCTTAATGCAATCCACACACATTTGAAAATCAGTAAAGTCATTTTCCAAGATTCTAGTTTTTACCAATCTTTCGATTCTTTCCTTGGAGATGTGCCCCAAACGTTTATGCCACAAGATAGAAGAATTTTCGTTATTTAGGCTTCGCTTTACGCCAACTTCCGAATGAGTGGTTAATAATGATTGTTCAAACTCATGATTCAAAGATATTTTATATAAACTATCACATAAAATACCAGAACCAATTATTATTGAATTAAACATAAATCTGAGTTTTCCACAACCAATTAAAGCTCATTCAAATTCCACTTATCTTTTTGAGTATTATAGTGGATTTTGAATGGGCCGAACTTTGATGGAAGTGAGTTAAGGATAAATTGTACAAGGAAGGACTCTTCCACTTTCATGCCAAGAGCTCCAAGTTTGGCAGCCTTATCAGTCCGATTTAGGATGTGTTCCTGAATTCCCTTGTCACCACCATATTTCATGGTAGTCAATTCAGCCATGAGTGTCCCTGCTAACGACTTGTCCGCTGATTTAAAGCGTTCTTTAATAGCCGTTAACAGTTCCATAGCATTGTCAACCTCAGGAAGGCCACCTGAAATAGCTCGAAGTTTCCACCATTCTAATAAGCATAAGACTAAGCCTATTGGACTTGGTCCAGGCTTCAATTAGGCTAACTTCTTCCTCACTGTTAGCATCCGTTATTTCCCCAGGTTTTTCAGTAAGCAATGCTAAGTCCAAATCCATAACACCCAAGGTGAACTGAATTTGTTCATACCATTCGGAGAAATTTGACCCACTGAGAGTCTTAATACCAGAAGCATGCGAGTACAACGAAGTAGGAATAGCAACTGGAATAAATATAGCAAATATAATAAGGTAAAGATAAAAGGATGTTCACATAAGACCTTGAGTCAAATAAGATGAACTATTGATATCACTACAAGTTCGCCTTTGGGTGAAATACAACATACCTATTGTTCACTCTATGTTGGTGTAAATAATCTTTTATAACACCTAAGTAGGGTCTAACATAATTTGTCTCACTCGTCAATTATTCATGTTACCTTTAGGTAAACAATTCTAATTGCTAAGTAATACAAATTATGATACCCTACCCAGTTCATAATTAATTAAAATCGACTATCCTTTGAGTTAGTCTTAATTTCTTAATTATGACTGCAATTTGAGAATATTATAATCTTTAATATCATGTAAATGATTAAACTTTTATATAGTTCTTATATTTATTAGATTTTACTAATCTAGGTCACTTTAGCGACTACAAGATTAGTAAATTTCATAAATATAAAACTAATAATATTCTCATTATTTTATTTGAGTGATAATTACATAATGAAAAATTATCATAAAATATATGAGTATTAAGTTTATGAATATTATCATTATCAGGATTAGTATCAGGATCAGGATTAGAGTCAACATTACGATTCGAACTAATATTAATATTAGAAATAATATTACTAATGGTATGAGCGATAGTAATAGTAATAGTGATAGTATTTGGATTAGTATCAATATTAGTATTAATATTAGTATTAGTATTTAATACAGTATTAGTATTACTCTTAGTATTAATATTAATATTAGATTGGTATATGTATATGTATATGAATTAGTATTAGTATTAGTATTAGTATTAGTATTAGTATTAGTATTAGTATTAGTATTAGTATTAGTATTAGTATTAGTATTAGTATTAGTATTAGTATTAGTATTAGTATTAGTATTATTATTAGTATTATTATTAGTATTAGTATTAATATTAGTATTAGTATTAGTATTAGTATTAGTATTAGTATTAGTATTAGTATTAGTATTAGTATTAGTATTAGTATTAGCTATTAGCTATTAATATTAGTATTAAGTATTAGTATTAGAATTAGTATTAGAATTAGATTAGTATTAGTATTAGTATTAGTATTAGTATTAGTATTACTATTAGTATTAGTATTAGCTATTAGTATTAGTAATTTGTATTAGCTATTAGTTTTAGTAATTTGTATTAGTAATTTGTATTAGTTATTAGTATTAATATTAGTATTAGTATTAGTGTTAGTATTAGTGTTAGTATTAGTATTAGTATTAGTATTAGTATTAGTATTAGTATTAGTATTAGTATTAGTATTAGTATTAAAATTAGAAATTAATATTAGTATTTGTATTAGTATCATTGTTAGTGTTAGTGTTAGTCATAGTGTTAGTATTAGTGTTAGTGTTAGTGTTAGTGTCAGTGTTAGTGTTAGGATTATAATTAGCATTAATATATGATTAGTATTAAGTTTAGTATTAGTATTAGCATTAGCATATTTGAATTATTATTATGATTGTGATTCGTAGTAGTATCACGATTGACATAAGAATATTAACATTAACATATTAGGATTAACATTAGCATATTAAGATTACCTTAACATATTAGGATTAACATTAGCATATTAGGATAGTCATTAAGTTATTAGGATTAGTACTGAATGAGAT